AATCTTTATTGAACAAGTCAGGATACAATTCTCAGGAAACAGAAAAGGCGCTAATCCAATCACCGAACGCGCACGGCCAGTCTCGACGTAAGGCCTTCTCGCTAGCCCTAGTACGCAGACGAGAACAAGTCAGGATACAGGAAACAGATCACGAGTCTGAGACTCGTGATCTGATTGGCTATTGAAACCTGACTGTGCCCGTTCACTTACAGTGCACAGGGGCCTGCTCTGTTTAATCTGAAGGCCCCGAGCAAGTTTAATTTACCTGGCAACGCAAGCTAGCTGAAATATGATTGGTTAAAAACTCTACCATAATAAATAAGTCATTTATCGAGTGACTTTCAATGTTATTTAAAATAACATTGAAAGCAACTCAACTAAGTGGAAATAATATGACGTAAAGAATACAGAGAATAATTTTGTTTACATATTTATGAAAATAAAATAACAAATTATAAAATAACATGAAATACATAAAAGTAAATTTACTTCTCTGAGAATGTTTAGGCCAGCAGAGAAGGCCTTGCTGGCCCTGAGGGTCCGCCACTGATTGATACAAACATTTTGAAAGGGGACTTGACCAGGGATGGCGCTAGTGGAAATTCCACATCGATATCCCACCCTGAGAGTCAAGGAAGGAATTGTGTGCTCATGAACACTTGACAGATGATCCGTGACAGCTTTTAGATGTAAATATTTCTTTGTGATTCAGACTGTGTTGGTATTGAATTCAGACAAGTCCACCGGAGAGAGAGATAATCTTTACATGGAGGTAAGCTCAACCATAAATTATCTTTGATGTTGATGAGCATGCAGTATTGCTGTGACATTTAAGCAGCACCACTTTCTCTTGTTATTCCATCACAGATTATCAACATGTGTTTTATCATCTACTACCTATCTGAAATGTGTGTCAAGATATTTGCCTTGAGTTGGAAAGGGTACCTTTCCTACAGGAACAACATTTTTGATGGATTCCTCACCATCCTGCTCCTGGTAATTTAGTTTGACACAATCTTCCTCAAACTTGTCATTGAAATAATTGGGTAATGCATTTCATCTCATGGTATTTACAGTACAATGAAAATGAAAAGGCTGGACTTCCTGTTAAACTGTCAGGTTTTTGTGAGATCAAAACCCCAAGAAATTGCAGCATGAATAATTTCAAAAACATTTTCCACCGTTATTGTGACTTGTAACATGTACAACACAATCCAAAAAAAATTGAAATATTTACAAGCGGGTTAATATTAGTTACTAAATAAAACAACTGAGATTACTATGTTGTTGCACAGATGTGCACTCCCTCTTTCCTGTAACTTAGGATGTGAATGTGTTCAAAATTAACCAATCAAACTCAATTTAAATGGTACTAAGCACACACCGACCACCAATATTCCCTGTAAATTTCCAAGCGTCTGAGCATTTACACAAACTCCCAGAGCATTCTTTGGACCACGGTGAGCAATATCATGTGTTGTGTTATTTTGACTTCAAGATGGCGCCGCGAGAGTGGCTGCCTTTCCAGCAGCTCCTATTTATTTTGTTCTTCTACTTCTTCCTCTCATAACTTTGCTGCTGTGAAGTGGGAATTTCTCCATTGTGATACTATTAAAGGTATTCTTATCTTATCTTATCTTATCTTATCAGACATGCACACAGTGGCCAAACAAGTATCACACCTGTCTAGTTACATGATGTAGGTATGCTACAAAAGAATTCAAACCACCTCGATATCAAAATACAACATATCATTGAAGAGATCTGTGACATAAATAAAATCAACCCTAGTTTATTTTTAATTTTATTTTAAGAATATTTAATTTTCAAAACAAACTGTATACTGTAGATATGGTTCAACATTGTCCACTTATAAAAAATGTCATTTAATAAATAAATAAATAAATTCTAGCCACATGCAAACACACACACGCACACACAAAATAAGCCTTATTTGAGTGGCTAATAACCTACGGCCATTTTTTGACTTCCTGACTGGAGTGGGACACAGGTTGCCAGCGTCTCGTTAGTGGAGAGCGTGAGTGAGTGTATTTTTGTCAGTGTATATTTCAAACTACAGAAGAACAATTGAGTTTGCAATCTTGGTCACACTACTGAAACTGTAAGGGAATGGGGCATGGTGTGGTGTTCTGTTTGTAGATTAAAATGGGGTGGAAATGAAGGAATGAGTGGAGAAATGTAATGTGTGTGCATCCTGCGCACCAGGGTCATGGTGTACGCCAGGGGTGCTCAATACATAGATCGTGATCGACAGGGAGCCAGTGGACTGGTCCCAAGTCGACCACGAGGGGTGGGAGGAGGAAATGGGGCGGGGGACAAGATATGTGTGTCTGTGTGTTTCGGTTTCATTCATGTTCAGGGCCGTTCCTGCTGTTGCTCATTGTGGCGTGCATGCATGTATATGCGCGCGTGTGTTTGGTTGGGCTCCCGCGTGCGTGCGTGTGTATATGCTTGCACGTGCGTGATCGCATCGATCCCGGGAAGTTGATCGCTTCAAAAGTCTATCTTCGGTCAATAAAGTTTGGCCACCCCTGGTGTACGCTGAGAGGGTGAGACCAGTGCACAATTTAGAGGCAACATTGCCTCTGACTCTTTCATGTGCCAATGTAGTTCTGTGTGATCCAATGAAGACATGATGTGTAGAATTATTTAAAAACATCAATTGTTTTTTATAATGTTATTTTGATATGTGAGATGGATATTTGTGCAAGGGTGCCACAAAGTCAGTGGCTTTCATGGCTCAGAGGAGTGCGCTTGTCCACAAACATAGTGATAGCTGGCGCCATTTACATTGGGTCTAGGCCCGGGACCCAAGCAGCAGATAACCTGTTATGTTTCTGTTAAGAAACCTGGCTTCAGACTACAGCTGAAAAATAGAATTCATGTGCATTGACACTTTTTATTCTTGTGTTAATTAATGTGCACTGTCCCAATGAAATAACTAAATAAAAAGCAGTTCTACACGAAACTCCAAACCCTCATTCCGAAGGCCGGTTTAAACCTGTTGCGAATTTTGCTCCAATCTAATTAGATCATGTCTCAGACTATCAGTGTTAGCATGAACATGCAATTTAGTGCCTGCTTTTTGGGAACTTAGTCAATCAGGCCCCCTCTGTCTGAACAGGATACCTCCCTAATTTAGTGTCATGAGTGTATTTCACTACATTTGTCACTGAACATTTTTTTTTTCTACCTTTAGGTCCTGCAGATAACTATTTATGTCATCTACCGCCTTCCTCATTCACATGTGTAAGTTAAATTTTTAATATGTTGGACTGATTATAATCCCTCAAAAGACTCACACTCTGCTATATATATTTTATGTTGCTCACTACACACATACAGTGGACCCAACAGCCATGCAGGCATATGTATAAGGAGAGATGTCATCGGGTTCACTCTTCAAAAAAAAACTGACTTTACATTGTAAAGTTTTGCAGGAATTTGATGACTCATTATATGAGAGGTGGCGATTATGACTGAACGGCTTTGCAAACAAACTGCCTGTGTTTCTGTATGTGTCACGACAGGGACCCATCCTCAGATGGAGTATTTTCACTGTGGGAGATGGTTCGCTTTGTTAACGTGCTGGTTGTCTTCCGCTTCCTGCGCATCATACCAGATATCAAGGTAGGTAGCAGTTGGGTTAGTCAACTTTTACAATGAGTTTGTGCTTACAAAAAGGCTGCACATTTGGTTCAGGAAAGGTACGTTTATCAGTAGAGCACAAAGCAATTCAAACTGCCTTACAGGTACAGTGGTACCTCTACTTACAAAATTAATTGGTTCTGGAAGAAATTTCTTCACCAGAACATATTGTAAGTAGAGATGCATTTTCCATGTAAATGCCCTAATCCGTTCCAAACCTCCCCAAAATTCAGACATAAATGTTTTCTAAAGCATAAAAATGCATCAAAATTGAAACAAATACATGTTACAATTAAATTATTGCACAATAAATAAGAGTTGTGCACAGTGTAAAAAACAAAGAATAGAGAATAAAAATGGTCATTTAAGTTTTCAATGCGTCCTCACCGTTTTTTTTTTCCCCTCTTTAGTTCATGTTCTCCCTCAGAAGGGGTTTTTGCCTGGCGGTTTGTCACAAACCGATCCAAGGACGTCTGCTTTTGTCTGCTTTTAACAATCCTTCGAAAGTGTGCAATGCAAACATCAGCATAGTGAGCGATCGCCCGACTGGTGAACACATTTTCTGGGTGATTCACATTTACGTAAACCTATCGGAACGCCTCATGGCCTCGGTGGTACCTCTACTTACAAACGTCTCTTCATACAAAATTTCAAGTTACGTAAGGTAAAAATTCAACATGGGCTACGCGTCACAGCGCCGAGTTTCCTGAACGCAACATCCTTGTAGCTGCTCTGCCATTGGCTACTACCGAGCATCATCCTGGCATCCCTCTGGCTAAGAGGGACCTCTTCTGCACGTGTCTATGTGTTTAGATCGATAGATATGTGTCGTCATTCGCCACCGTACATGGAATTACAAGAAGGCAAATAAAATCATTCTCTAAATAGATAAATCATGATGGATTAAATAAAAAATTAATCAATGCAGGTCAAATACTTTCAGGTGTCATTGGCACAGCTAAATAGATTTGAACGCTGCCAGAGTTGAGGCTTGTCTCACATATAATGAAATACCGAAAGATATCTTCACACGCATTTAGTCCTGATTCTGGGCACCAGCAAAAGAGCACGCCATGAGGTTCTTGGTGTCCGATAGCATTTATATTGTTCAGACATGTCATAGATGTACTTTGGTGGTTGACCATGAAGAGGCTTAAACACACGCAGAGCAGTTATGAAGTCTATTCTCTGAGTCACAGGAAGCCAGTGCACTGAGCACTGGGCCAATATATTTGTACTTCTTGTTTCGAAGAACTCAAGCAGCAGCAGCAGTCTTGATGTACAATACTGCAGCTGTCTGATAGCTGGTTTAGAGAGCCCAGTAAGCAGGCCGTTACAGGAACCAACCGTGCAAGAGATAAATGCACGGTTGGTTTCTCAAAGTCAAGTTTAGACGCTGTTCCTTCGATTTTTAGCAATGTTTTTACATGGTAAAAAGCTGCTGATGTTGTTGATTGAATGCGGTTGTTGAAAATCAGATCCAAGTCCAATATTACCACGAGATGTCTAACATGATTATTAAGTTTTAGAGAGTCTTGATGTGACTGATAACACTTTTTCTTGGTTTCTGTGGGCCACAGGCATTGATTTCGGTTTGTGAGAGAAAATTATTTTTCATCAACAGTGACATATAGAGCTGAAATTCCTCTACAATGAAACCTACATGGGCGAAAATACCCCCTAGTGTGAAAAAATAATCATGCATGAAAGCCATTCCCACTTTTCTGCTTCCCCCTACGACGAAAAGTCCCCCTGTTCTGTTATACGAAATATTTTTCTCTGCTCTTGCCTCGCAGCGAAATTCACTACAACGAAAACAAGCCTTCTGCAGTAGTCTAATCCAACCTCAGCATGCCACAGCGACCTCTGCTGCTTCGTTCGGAAGCTGTTGAACCACCGCACTGGTATACACATGCGCAGTAGTCCAGGAAATATTTGTTATTGTTAGTTTCAGACACAGCATGAAGGTTACATTGCTAAAATGGCTACGAAACGGACCTTTGCAGACCAAGGAGTTAAGAAAAGATTTGCATTCACACTTGAATACAGGATAAAAGTAATAAAAATGAAAGATGGAGAAAGCACAGTAAACACATACGGTGTGTGTGTGTGTGTGTGTGTGTGTGTGTGTGTGTGTGTGTGTGTGTGTGTGTGTGTGTTTACATCTGAGATAAAATTTGCTACAGTGAAAGCCCCCTGTTGTGAAAAATTTCTTGCTGCAAACATGATTTCGTTGTGGAGGAGTTTCACTGTAGCGTAATTTGTAGCTTTCCTTATTAAAGCATGTAGTGATTGAATAATAAGGGTCGCCCATTCCGAAATGTGTTCAATGCACGACATGTTTGCACTGTGGTTGAGAGAGGAAAGTAATTTCATCTGTGCTGTTACACATCGAGCATATTTGACAATAAAAGCTGACTTAACTTGACTTGACTGTGCGTAGGGCCTGATAGTCTGTGGGGTCACATTTTGTGCGAGGTAATGCATTGCAACATCATTGATTGAGCAATCTTTGAATGTCATGTGTGAACCCTCCAACAAGCACCTCATCGACAGTAATCCCTCGTGTTTTGCGGTTGATTGGTACCAGACCCCCACCCCTCGCCCACTAAAAGTGAAAAAACACGAAGTAGGATTTGTCACCCGACAGGAATGTTCATGTTGGTATGTGGATGGAGCTTTTTTTTTTTTTTTTTTTTTTAAATATGTTATACGTGATTAATGAACCAACAGATTAGTCTCATGACAAAATATTTCTCCTCCATGCACTGATACAAGTATTTTGTTCTGCAGCTAATGGCTTTGGTTGCAAGCACCTTGTTGGACCTGGTGAAAAACCTAAGAGCCTTTGCAGGGATTCTGGTGGTGAGTTAAAGAAGCTTCCCTCAATGACCTCCTTAGATGACAAATGTTGGAATGGAATGTTAATATGTATTCTTACTAAAACTATACTCAGCATAATGAGTGTTGCTGTTTGGATTTGTAGAGCATATTACATGTACTGTGCACATTGTATGTGCCGACCAAAATCTAATTGAATTAAAAAGCAATGCTTATGATTTCAAATATGTATATCATTAAAATCGGAATGACTATGAAAAATGCCTCTAATAAATTTGATGCTATGTATCACTGTTGCGACATTTTGTTAGTCTTGACTTCACCTTATTCGTTGCCGTTTTGTGCAAAAATACATAGCCTTGCTTATTTAGTTTTTTGTTGCAATTTTTTTTCCTTCTGTGTCTCGATGATTTATTTTTTTTCTTCAAGCCAAACCAAAATACAGCGTAACAACGATTGGGGTTATTTTAACATGATTATCTGAATCCCGTTGAAATTGTCATCCTGTTTGATTGCTTATATTTTATGAAGTTAGAAATCTAAAGGAGGGACCGGCATGAACCTGCTTCCTCGACAAACAAGGGGTGTGCTAAATAATTTACTCTGTGATGAAAATACAGAGTTTAGGATTTAAGGGGTGTTTTTATTGAATAATTTAAGTGGTGATCTTAAATTTCACGGTCAACTTTTTCTTTTTTTCTTGTCAACATAAAAAACAGGGTGATAGAACATTCAAATATGAATGCACATTGTTCTCTCCGCAGGTAGTTTACTACATATTTGCTGTGTTTGGCATCTGGCTGTTTGAGGGGGCCATCAAACCACCACCAGATATGAGGTATAGACAAATTATATATATATATCGGGTGTCCGTCACACATTCAGCTCGGGTCCTCTACCAGAGGCCAGGAACTTTGATGGTTCTTTGCAGTATCCTTGCTGTTCCCAGCACTGCGTTTTTCTGGACTGAGATGTCCGATGTTGTTCCCGGGATCTGTTGCAATCACTCATCCAGTTTGGGGTCACTGCCCCGAGTGCTCCGACCACCACAGGCACTACTGTCACCTTCACCTTCCAGGCTCTCTCCAGCTCCTCTTTGATCCCTTGGTATTTCTTCAGTTTCTCATGTTCCTTCTTTCTGATGTTTCCATCACTTGGGATCGCTACATCCACTACAGAGGCTTTCCTCTGCCCTTTAGCTATGATCACGACATTTGGTTGGTTCGCCATTACCATCTTGTTAGTCTGTATCCGGAAGTCCCACAGCAGGGGTCCCCAACCTTTTTTGCCCCACGGACCAGTTTATGTCAGACAATATTTTCAGGGACCGGCATTTAAGGTGTGGCGGAAATAATACAACAAAATAATATGTGATGAGCTGCATGAAAACTGTGGTGTTTTCGAAATATAATAATAAACACAAGGAGCGTCTAATCTGGCCGCAACACTCTGATCGCTATGGTAATGTTTAATGCCTTCAAAATACGAT